ACCTTTGCAAATCCAACCATGAAAGGCAGATGAATAAGATTACCAAAATGACATCTATCACCCTCAAACATTCCAAGGAAATCGTGCTTTCTTACGTTTATTTTCGGTAAAATACAATTAGAACGGGTGTAAGGGGTTAAGGTAAATTCCTTTTGAAACTCTGATTACTTGTCATCTAGACATGTTAAGGGATGATTAGATAAGGTGTGTCAACAAATATAACTCGTTTACAAAAAAGGCAGTGAAAATCAACTCCACCTTAAAACTACAAGGCACAAATATCTGTTAAGTTTAGCAAATTGAATGTAGATGAAATCACTGCTTGCAAATTAAAAAAAATATTTCCTTTCTAATACTAATCTGTGCTTATATTTTGCATCTGGATGAAGTCGTTTTTGAGAATAGCACGTTTCCTCATTAAGTGGACTACGTGACATTTCACTCAACTGGTGATTATTACGAAAAATAGGCAAGCAACTCAGACTACAAGCTCTTGTTGAGGAAGATGGAGAACCCAAACAACCGGTTTTAATCTTTCGGTATTTTGCGTGCAGATTTTTCGGCGACATTGCCAACGGAATCTGCGCGCTCTGCTTAGTTGAGAGCGGCAAAAAATGCTCCAAAGGTAAACAGCGTTTAAAGTTTTATCGTTAGCTTAGTTTGATTAAATCGCTTTTTAATTGAGTGTTTATAAATGAGCTTTTTCTTTAGCCCTTACAACTTCCCATTCTGTCTGTAAATTTCGAGCAATATCAAATTTCATGGAGAACGGTGTACTTATTGGCGTTTCAAAAAGTTGTCACAAATTCTTAATCAAATGTCCCATTTTTGTGTAAAATATAATCAAAGAAAAAAAAGTTCACACTTATGGGAAAATAATGTATGAGCAGAGCTTGAATTGCAGGCCATGGCGCTCAAAGTTGGTCTCCGTGTGAAGTTTGCCCTACAAACACGGTCACTTTATTGACACCAAGTTCAGACAGTTGATTTATAAAAAGAAAAATTAATTGCGCACTCCGCTGTCCGCATAAAGCGTGCAAGTTCACAGTGTTTTCATTCTGTACTCAAATGCATCGCCTTAATGGAAAATTGCTTCATGTGCTTGATTTGGGGTAGACCACGCTGGATGCAAGACATCAAATGCCTTGCCGATTTACTTATCGAGCTTTAAGAGCAAAAAGGCGGTTTTTATGCCTAAAAGTTATTCATCTTTGCAGAAAAAATTAATGACTTTTGGTGAACTCATCCGGCTGTAGGCTTGACTCCGACAAACCGTTGGGAAAATGGAAGTTATGAAAGTTTTAACAATTTCTAAACACTTCTCTGCACCCTAAATTTTATTCACTAATTGCAAATGCAGTTGACGCAAATCCACACAAAAGTAATCTACTTAGACAATCGTCTAAGCCTATTTGTTGTCGAGCTTGTCATGGTAAACAAATAATGTCATTAGTGAAAGGCTTTGCTGTTTTTGATTCATACAAATGGAAAGGATTAATAGAAGCGCATTTTGTGAGACCACTGCAATGGCCGAATAAGGGGACTCCTCTCTGGAAGACTTACCTGATAGCAACTTTCACAATGGTGATTAAAAACTGTATTACAAAAATTAGGAGCTTTCAAAGTCGCAAGCATTCGACGCAAGAAACATTCATGAGCTTTGATACCTTTTAAGGGCAATGGCTTACCTGCCAGTCTTATCCTTTCATTTATTTGTTCTGACATTTCGCAAAAGGACTACGTTCCTATAGCAACCAAAACTATCAGTCGTCTTATGTAGAGTGAATGGAAGTGCAAAAAATGACTACTCTCCAAATTAAACTTCCTTTGCAACACTTGTTTCTGTCAGTCCTTCTTTAAGAGATGCGTTTTTTGAAGAAGTTAACTCAGTTTAGAGTGTATACAAG